GAGTGGGGGGGGGCGGGGGGGCGGGGGGCGGCCGGCGGCGGTAGTAGTGCTGGTTATGGTGCGGCGGCTGGAAACTATCCACAAGGTGGTCCTTACGGCGCTTCTGGTGCCAACCGTGGCCCAAATATGGGTCCGAACCGAAATCAGTACAATTGGCAGTAGACACATTAGTTGCATTGTGTGTGCTACTTGTTGCTTTGATTGTGCGTGTAGGCTTTGGGTGCTTGTGCTAGGTTTCTTACTGATGTATAATTGGGTGGTTTCATAGAGTTTTAGAAATTGCATTATGAGAGCAAACGTGTGCTACCCTTTGTTAATTAGTTGGTTTTATGTTCTACGCTGATCAGTCATAGTCTAATGGAAGATATGGTCATTGGACTAGTGAGATTTGGATTCATTTATGTAAATGACCCAAAAAAAGAATGGTCTTTTTTGTGAGAAAGTTGAGCCCAAAGTGCCTTTTATGTGGACAAAGTATGTGGTGAATGACCTTTCTAAGGCAAAATTTTTGTTGAAATATAAATGTAATTCATTTTTATAATAATTTTGTTTGTGGCAGATTGAATTTTATGATAATTTTGGGGTGATTTATTATTGAATTAATGATAATAATTTTTATAATTTATGTAATAGTTTATTAAATATTTTTACTAGTAACTTAATTTAAGGGCAAATTTTTTAAGTCTATAAAGGGAAATTTGTGTTGTGGGGTTCATATACTTGAAGAATATTTTAATGTTTCGCTCTTAAATATTGATGCTTATAGCATTGATGAGGTGATCAACTCTTCGTTGACTCCTGTTAATGCCTATAAGGATTTCGTGCCGTTAACTTCAGCAACAATGTTCATTAACAAGAGTACATAACTTTTAATTTAGGACCCATTTGGGACCTCGTTTTTGTGGCTTTTTGTTTTTGGTTGCGGAGCAAGAGAAGTCGCGTTTGAGAATCCTTTTATTTCATGTGTTTTGCTGGTCGGGGGCTGCATTAGGTCGAATGTCGAAACGGGAGGAAAGGGCTTTCCGCGGTTGGAGCTCCATTGCGAGGTGCCTTTGACGTCGTTGTTTTTTTAGGTTTACGTGAATCTCACCCCCTATCCTCGCAGATACCCAGGCCACTGTCCTCCTATATCATTTGTATGGTTAGGGTTGAAACTTGGTTCCGCTCCCCCCCACCCCCCTCTGTTCGGTGTCGTCGATTGACTGCAACATTCTGGTGAAGTTTCTCCTTTAAACATTTTATATTTTTGTGGTTCATTCGCTACCTATCTCCGTGTTTCTTGTTTTTTCTAAGAATTTTTTTTTTTTTGTTTCTTGATCTGCATATGTATTCTTTGATGTTTGATGGTCGAATAACTTGCTCTTTCAAATGCATATGTATAGATGGACATGATTTCTGAGCACTTATTTGTTTTTTTTCTTCTCTTATTGCTTAGTTTTTGCATATGATTTGATGCAAATTAGAAGTTTAACTGATAGATTAGTTAACAACATCTATACTAATTCTGATCAAGCAGTAGAAGCTATGGAATAAGGAATGTAAAAGCATTGTACATCTATTTCTGTAAGAATTCTTTGTGGATTTATTCTACATATGCTT